TCTCTCTCTCTCTCTCTCTCTCTCTCTCTCTCTCTCTCTCTCTCTCTCTCTCTCTTTTTCTCCATCTCGCTCCAGTGTGTGTGTTTTTCTCTATCTTTCCATGATTTTTCCGCGAAATGTTCAATTATTGTTGCTGTTTGCATTGTTAAAAATGAAGGTGGCAATTTCCGTAAAACTATGTGTAATGAATTGTCTCTCTGACCACGAATCTAATGCAAAAACACACACCATTTATGATTTTGGAATTTGTTGTTGTTTTTTCGGCAATTTCCGTGCCGCCCTCAGCGGTAATAATTTATAATTTCCATGCATTTAATTTAAGAATTTTTCTGCTGTGAAGTGGAATTTAATTTTTGACGAGACACAAAAAATGACACAAGACACAAAAAAATGACATGGGGTCATTTTAAAATGCAGGAAATGCCCTGCAGCGAACCGATTTATGACTTGAACTCTTGGATGATCTCCCGAGGTGAGTTGACCAAAAATCGGTTCATTCGCAAATAATGAAGCTCTCATCAGATTTTCCATCATTATGAGCACACAATTTATGATATTGACATTTTCGCCGGGGCGCAAAGACACACACGTTTTGGTTCCTGTATCTTGTGCATTTCTACTCTCCCAAAAGAGAGATTTACCTTCAATGATAAATACTACTTCGGTAGTTTTATTACAGTTGCTACAACTACACCCAAATGCATACGTATACTATAAATTAAGAGTTTATGGCAGATGATAAAAACTGACATAAGCAAATAAATGTCATCAATCCTTTCTATGGATATGTGTTTGCTTTCTTTAACAGAAAAAAAAACCGAACTAAGAAAGTTTTCTTTCTCCGGTGTGAACTTTCGCTAAAATAAAATCGAAAATCAAAAACAATGCGCATTTCTAATGCGCGAACTCTTTTATTTGTTTAATTGTGCGCATTGTCGTCGTCGTCGTCGTCGTCAGTGTCGTTTTCATCGTCTTCGATATCGCATTCGGTGAACTTTAGTTTATTTATGTGTGCTATTTCGATATGGTGATGAAAAACACCACGTTCATGATCATGACAATATTCTGTATGCGCCTAACATGGGTGAGAGAGAGAGAGAGAGAGAGAGAGAGAGCAAAGATGGCAACATATCCGCCAAATGCCAAATAACGTGTGCCCATTTGTACGACACACAGAATGAGCACAGCAGACGATCGCATACAAGTCGGAATCAATGAAGGAAGAAAAAAACACTTTTTTTCGCTTCCATATGATAAGCATCTTATATATGTGCATTATTTCGTGTTTTCACTGTCTTGAATTTATCATTTTGCTGCTGCACCGTGGCTGCCTTCCGATTGCACATGAAATTCAAAATGGATTTTCTCTCTATATGGGCAATTTTCAAATATTTCATGTTACTCTTCGTAATTTTTGTCAACTGATATGTGGCATGTCTCCTGGGAAAGAAAACAATCGGATGCAAAGCGGAAGGAAGATCATTTTTCTAATGGAAGATTGATTTGATTCAATGAAAATTAGCAGAAAGCGTTGTTTTGTTCGTATGATACGAATCGTACCATCAAAGCCGAATTGTCTAAGAACTCACGATTTCGGTACACCTCATAACCATCTCAGTACTGACAATTTCTGTTAAGTGATATTAAAGTGAATTTTTTTCCCAAATCAATATTTCAACGATCTCACAATAACTACAAACGCCCCAATGGCCATTGAGCTAGATATTGGTCTTTAACAAAATATTTTTCTTTCTATTTAATTGAAAATAGAAAAAAAAATACAATCAAAAGGTTATGAGCGAAAAGTGTGCGAAGCGACTAATTCAAGTTTGAAAACGATTGCCCATACCTGGATTTTATCCATTAAAATGTACCAAACCATAGAGTCATATGTAACGAACGTGAGTTTTAATATACTGGTTTCAATGCGACTATTCTGCTGCACGTCGCTGGAACAGGCTCGAAATGTGAACTTGTACAAACTACCGACACGTTTACCATGTTCAATCGCATGGCACGGTTGTTTCGCTCTTTTTTTCCCCTCGTCGTCATCGTCATTCAGCTGCGTCTGTACATCATAAATTTTCATGGGAAACAAACGAAATTTGCATTCGTCGCGCGACGATGCTAGCATTTATCAGCTCTTGTATTGCCTGCCTACCTTCCAATGCAATGAGAATCAATTATAATATTGTGCTTAATTTGTAATATCATATTTCCCTTTCGTTTCAGGTTTTTTTCTGTGCATCGCCACATCACCTTGCTTGGGTTCAAAGGTAAAATCAACTTCTAACTTGATAGATAAAACATTTCAATTTTCAATACAGAATCCAGCTACAATTCCCATCGAAAAAATTAAATTTGAACATCGAAAATGGACAACACCATTAGATTGTAATAGCAAAGCTTGTGGGCTCACTTTTCCCGTTGTCAAGGACCAGGCCGCTGTAAATGCATGTATGGGTGTTGGTTTTCCCACCTTTAGCTCTCAACTCGCTTACACGTCTGATTTTCATTCGCATTTCTATTCAGCGTATGTGGTTGCGTGTTTGTCTGTCTGCCTGCCTGCTTGCTTGCTTGCTTATGCGATATTTGACGCTTTTAATATTTAAAACCAACGTTGGCGTTTATCATTTCCCCTGTGCGTTTTTTTTTCTTCTCACCTTTGTGAATAATTCAAGTGTAATCCGGCACATTGTAATTTTGTGTGCATTCGAACTGATCTGCGATCAGTTTGAAAAGTCATTTCAAGTGTACGAATATCTATTGAAAGTGAAAAACTCCATCCGCCTCTCCAATCCGTGCGCACTGTGCACACACAATCTACGGTATATATATTTTATTTTTCATTTGTGAATTAAAGTTTCCCACAACGAAAACTGTTGTTATCAATGCTCGATTCTCATGCTTGCATGTGAAATGAACGTATTTATACGAGCTCGAGCTGCTCACTATTGGCAAGGTCATCGCGTATTTAAACAGCGTATAATTTAATTTAATTGAATAAAGTATTTCAAAAGCAGCTGAGTGTTGCCGCGTTGCGCATGTCATGCTCACAAATATTGGTGCTAAAGAGGGAAGAAAAACGCAAAACTCTCGATTTCGAATCAGTTGGACCGTGTGTTGCGTTGATAAGTCGACGAATTGCCAAAGAAAGAATTGAATCTTACGCATTTCACGCATTCATAATGACAATTTATAACAAAACTGCAATTACTATTGTGCACTAATCGTACGATGCAATCGTGCTTTGCAAACGAAACGGGAAAAATCTCTCTCACCATTGCCGCTGGCACACTTCAACAATAATAATTTCCATTGAGCAAATCGTTTAAATTAATATTCAAACAATTGCCAAATTGTGCGCAATAATTGAGGTCGATTTGATTCTGAATGCATCCACTTGCATTGAATTAGATTTCTCACTCGAACAAGCGTAATTTCGGTTGCCAAATCGATGCAAAGTGTTAAAGAAGTAGCGAAGAAGTGCGCGATAACGTATGACTTGAAAAAACTATTGAAAGTTCGATGCGTGACTCAGACTATGCGTGTCGCTTTTCGCCGTTCATCAAAGAGCTCTGGCGTTGCTGTAAAGTCTCTCAGCCTACCTGCCGATTAAATGTTCGAATGAATCACGAACGTTCAACGATTCAAAATGGCACAAGAATGATTTCAAGAAAATTACGCGAGAGTGCACAATGAATGTACCAATTAAAAAAATTACGAACGTAAATAACAATAGAATTTCAGGCGGGTACTTCGATTTGGTTGGATATGTGTGAACGCTATGTGAGCGCGTTGTGCGCACACCAACTGCTATTATGTGCCGTTCGTTGTTTGTGTGTGTGTGGCAGTTATGCAAAAATCTGTGACGCAATTTGGCGCACACAATTTTGTAAGATAAGCGAAAAGAAGCACAATTTTTCCATTCGCCAAGAATTATGGAACTAATGAACAAATATTTTCTGTGCAATATGAATATTAAATAGATTCAATATTTTCATTGGCTCCATTCGGATATTCTGTCTTCGATGGATGCACAGGCGCGCGCATGCGCTCATGCATTTGTGCATCAAAAGCAGTGAACATGAGCCCAAGATAACTTGGGTCAGAAGCGAGCGAGCAACCGAACGATCTCTTGCTAAATATTCAAATTCTCAGCAACACAATAATTTTGGTCGAAAAAAAAATATCATTGCAACAAAAACGTGGTTCGTATTCGTTTCACACCATCTCTCGGTTTCATCCAAACCTTCAATATCAAGTTGGAAATACCATGAGATTGCTTCCGTTTAATTTCATTATTAATGTTCATTTTATTGTTTTATATCGTCGTCGTCGTTGTTATTGTTATTGCTGCTGCTGTTGTTCGCTGATGAATAACATTAACTTTGATCTCGAAATGAAAAATTAAAGCAGACGCAAAAAGAGAGAAGCACACAAAAAGAGGTAAAAATAAGCGAAAGCTGCTCGCTAATATGACTGCATTATCTATCGGAGACGATCTATTTCCTGGAAGCTCACGAAAAATATGTTGTCTACATATTTTCGCTTCTTGTTTTGATCGTGTCTACTGCTTTGCTTGAAAATGAGCTCGACTGTGCTTTTCACTATACTGTGGGTGTAAATGCTTCCCCCGAAAATTCAAGATATTCAAATCAATGCCATTTGTCGTACATACGTTTTTTGTTGGTGTTTGTTGTTGCGATTTTCCATCGGTTGTTCGTTGTACAAACCAAGAGACGTGTATGTTTTTTCTTGCTTTTATTTATGTAAATTTGCTTGATCGATTGTAAGCTTATGCAAACGCCGCGTGAGTGGTGCCGTTCAAGTTTAATTTATTTTATTTTTTTTTTGCGATTTTACACTTATAATTCCGTCGTAGCGAACAAAATCAGTAATTATTTTCAAACGGAAAGAAAGTGAATTGCGTGTGAAACAACTGATATATACAATGCTTGTGAGCGGGTGTGACTGCGCGCCGCACATCGAGCGATTTTAGTGAATTAGAGAGATAAAATATGGTGTAAGCACGAGTAACACTCATTTTTGGTTCATTGAAACGAGACTAAATAAAATTAGAGCGAGAGCTCGACACATACACAACTTTCGTTTTCAGCGTCGTTCCACGTTTGTTATATGAAATAACAATTGCCAAAAAGAAATGACTGGATTCTGTTGACAAAAATGATGGAAACATGAGCGCACAATGTTTGTGTCGTACATGAAAAAAGATCAGAAGCAAAAGAAGACGATGATGATGATGATGATCACAATGACGAGTTGTTTTTGTTTTGTCTCTGTTTTCAGGTGATTCGAACGTCTGCCAAGTCATTAGCCGAACGAGCTGGAGCAGCACAGTATGCGGTTCATATTGAAGAAGAATTGTCACCGGAAGAGATAAGCAGCCCGCATGATCTGCGGAAGCGGCTTAGCAATGAGAATTTGTTTGATGATAACGACTATGAGATTTATCAGGGTGTCGTTGGTAGACCGGGAGGTAAAAATTTTATTTAAATACGCTTCGGGATAATGAACATAATTCGATTAAATGACTCGATATATATGATCAATCTTTCAATTCGATTTTTCCGATTTAGTCGATTTTCCCGTTCTAACCGGCATCCCACAAACCACATTCAACTGCCGTGATTTTGGCAATGGTTATTTTGCCGATTTGGAAACTGAATGCCAAGTAATGTCAAGCAATTTCAATTTTTGGCCGGCCAAGGTTATGAGATTTCATTAATTCCCTTTAATTTAATTATGAAATAGGTGTTCCACATCTGTGAAGGCGGCAAGAAAATCTCGTTCCTCTGTCCGAACGGTACAATTTTCCAACAAAGCGAACTGATCTGTGACTGGTGGTTCAAAGTAAACTGTGCTGCTGCACCGGGCCATTATGCCGAAAGCTCCGAGGTTCTGTCACGAGCTCAAAATCGTTCATCGAGCTACTCGGTCAAATCGAAGCCAACCGTAAAGCTGGATAAAGATCAAAAACGGCCAAAGTCATCCGAAGAAGCAACAAATGATAATTTAGATTTTGAGGATATTTCATTCCCGGAGTTGAGTGCACCAAAATCAAATGCATTGAACGCTGACCGAAGGGCAAAAGCATATTCACAGAATAGCACACAGAATTTACAGAATACTCAAAATACTCAACGCGCTCAACATTCGCAACGCGTGCAAAATGCACCAAACACAAAAAGCGCGCCGAATTCCCAAGAGTCACAAGTATTTGCAGCCAGTTCATCATTTGTTAATGCCCAAGCCAACAATTTTAATGGCTATTACTACAAACAGCCGAATCAAAATAAAGCATCCAATCAAAAGGAGGCAACAACAACACAGTCACCTCAACCTCAAGCCACCTCAACGACTCCGGTAACGACAACTGCAGCTAGTGTTAATTTTGTGCAAAATAACAACAATTTCGATGGATACAAATACGAAGATCGATCGAGTCGACGATTCCAAACGACAAAAGCTACCACGGAAAGGAACAATCAAGTGACATTCTCCACGACAACATTGCCACCGATTACATATCCAAATCGGGGCACCACAAAATACAAGGACACAAATACCGATCAATTCATCATAAATGTTGCAGATACAACGGCACGAACGACACCACCTCCATTAATCCGAAATCGAATAAACGTTGAATCGACAACTGCACGATATGAAACCACACGAACGACCCCATTCTACACACCAACTGTGCCAAGTGTTTCTCCAGCTCGACCGGTATCACGGAACCGTTTTCAAGAAGCGCGGCCAACGGTCAGCTCAGCAAAGGTTGCCGAACACGCCATGGAAATGATGCAAACAATTCATAATTTGAAATTGGATGGAGCATCCGAGCCAACACTGGCAAAAGAACACGATAGTCGCCCTGGATTGATCATTCCACCATCGTCCGGGCCGGAAACACTTCATTCGCTGGCTTTGTACTTTGCAACAGCGGTTGATAGTTTGGTAACGAAACCGATGCCTGAAACCACAACTTTGCCAGTTCCTGGATTGAAGGGTCTTGATATTCAAGTGGGCAATGTGACGAAATTGGATTCATCTTTGGTGAGTGACAGCACAAAACGCCAATACGAGACATTGTTTGGCATCGATGAAGATGATAAATTAGGTAATGAACAGAACAAAGCTAGTGTTCGTGATGGTTCCAGTGATGACTCCAACCTATCGAACAATGACTTGGAAACTGAATTCTCGAATAATCCTGTTGTTGCCGCCGCTGGAACTAAACAGATCCGAGAATTGGCTCAAGTATTTACGCATGCATTGTCCGCATATCTACACGATCCATCCACATTCCGAAGGGTTTTGGCCGAAATTCGACCAACCGAACCACCACCAGTCCAAAGCACTGAGTATTTGAACAATCGAATTGGCAGAAACAAAGATTTCAAAGATGGAACTGGTCCGACGTATTTGCCAACATCGGCAACGCCGAGCTTCAAAGATGCCAATGCTGGCATCCAAACTACAGAAGACTTGGAAGTGCTTGACTTTTCCGATGTGACCGTGTCAACGCCGTATTCAAAAGAGGATTCAACTGATATCAACAATAACACAGAAAGTGCTACTTCTGTACCAACTGTTGATATTTTCGACACAACTAGATCGCAAATTTTGCAAGAATCACTCAAACAGGTTGATCATGTCCCAGCATCTCGAATTCTCACCGAAGCACTTGAATCGTACGCATTGAATCAATATTCTGGAAATTCACTGGAAGGAACAACCGAACCAAGCAATCCATTGGCTATCGAAATAAATGGTGGACTCGAGGCCACAACAACTTATCCATATTTAGAAGATTTCGAAAACTCAAATAATACCTTCCAATTCCCATCGCATTTGACCGACACCGAATATCCAAGTTCTCCAACCACTGATTATCCAAATATCGCATCGACCACATCGTCTGGACCATTGTCATTCGATCTGTTGCCACCATCATCGGTAAATAAAGCATTCGATTTCCCAAAGAATGACATACCCGCACCGGTCGATGATAATGATTTGCAGCGTGCTCAATCACAGTCAATATTTGGCAATAGCAAGAATAACTTGGAGCCACATCGAACGGGCAAAGAATACACAACGAAAAGTAAAAACGACGCAAAATCGTTGAAGAATGAAAATGGCCATTACATTACGGAAATCACTCCGACCGTGACGCCAGCACCGGATTTGAGTAAAACAACCAATCCAGATAATGGAAAGATTAATCCAAACACATGGTCAACACTATCGTATTCCGTGTTTTTGGATCCATTGACCATAAATGATGGCCTTATGAGTTCGAATGAGCAAAGCACACCACCAAGTGCAATTGGATCGGCCACTTATCTGCCGCAAACAACACTAACACCAAGCTACGAAACAACCATTCCAACATTCCTAAACAATGACAATCGACAGGGCAAAGCTGTTGCGCCAACAAATGGTTCACCAACACACGAAGATTACTTGCATGTGATGCAACAGAAGGCGAACGAAATGTTTGGATCGCTGAACGATACATCAGCCGATCACCTGATGAATGTCATGAAAAAGGCCGACAAAAATAAGACGGTGCGAAAATTGATATTGCTTTTGATTCAAACGTGCGACGATGATTACAATAAAACGGTTGAACAGTCAAGGCAAGCACTTTTGAATGCTTTGATCGGCATGGACGGTAGAACGGATGATGGCAATGAAATTCAAACGATTCAGACGATCAGAGCAAAGCCGTATCGTGACGAAAGTGCAGGTAAAGCATTGAATTTGAATGGACCCAGTCAAAATGCGTTCCCAACTACAACCACACAGTTGCCGATAACAACATATCATCGGCCGCTCAATTTACGTATTACCGAAAGTGCTAGCCACTCAACACATTATCCACCTCATAATGCGGCTTTGAATACTGAAACAACAACATATTCGCCGCTATTCCAATCGACAAACTACTTTGCGGACACAACATCAACACAAAACTATGACTTCAGCACAACAACTGTGTATTCAACAGATGCTGATACCACTACAACTACGTATTATCAGCCACCAACCACAACAATTGCAACAACGACAACAACAACAACAACAACAACTAGAGTGCCAGCAACAATCAAATCACGCCGAAGGACCACTCAGGCGCCGTTGCGCAATTCAAAGCGTTTAGCAAAAGATTTGGACCAATATTTAGCGCATCAAGGTGACACAAACGTAACGGTGAATCAATCGCATCGGAATTCTGATGCTCGAGCCTTAGAATTACTTCGGTCACTCTATTCACTAGCAGGTCGATTTGGTAAATGAAAAGTAATTGAGAAAAAAGCCCCACTTTTTACGTACACACACACACACATACAAACATACACAAAAATTCGAATTTTGAATCGGTTTTGAGTCCTTCTGAATTTGGTCTTTTACACGAAAATTCCCTTTACTCTGAAAAATTAACGACTTTTCGAAATGATTCTTGTTGGAAAAATGTTCGAACGACATTTATGTTCATAGTGGAGAATGTGTGTCGTATTGTGTAATTTTTATGATGCCTAATTTGAAAGAGATTTTATCAAGTAATTTTAAAATTTAGTCAATTAACATGAACGTAAGAAGTAACCAATTTGACAAAAAAAAATTGGATGCACCCCCTATCATTGTGTCACGTGTGCATGATGAAGACCTTTCCCATGCAATTTAAAATGAACAAAACAAAAACACATTTAACCATGCACACACGAAAGTAGCTATCACAATGCAATTGCAAATTAAAATGACAAAAGAACAAGAGTAAGTACATGTGACATATATGCGCAATTTTCATCAATTTCGTTCAATTCAATCTAATTCTCACCTTTCCAAATCCGATACAACAAAAAATTTCCCTAATCTGCCTTCAAAACTGCAGCTTTTTCTGTTTTCTAATCTGATCGTTACAATAATTAACGTGTTTGTTTTTCTTTTTTTTTATTTTTGCTGCGAATCAATTCAAAACCATTTGTAGTAGCCGAAAGAGTACCAAAACTGTCGCGTGGAAAATGAATTGGGTCTGATTTAGGTATAACGACTTAGGTTCCAATAGAAGCCAGACACTTTGACTTTTATTTATAACATCCCGTTTATTTGAGTGGGAGAGATGACTGTAGATGAATGTATAACTTACGACACGGCAAGGTGACCGACAATATGACAAACTTTGACTGCCTTTTGACACACACACACACACAAGCACACATAGAAATGCATATAGAAAACACTACCACCCCGTATTCTGACCGGCTATCGGCTTCAATGCTTATTATTTAACTGACTAGTTCTTTGTAATGGAATGGACAAACGATAAAAAAAAACGATTGCATTTAATTCATTGTTACATACAATTGAATGCAGTTTATGAATTGTTGATATATTTAATAAATTTTAAGTCGTAATCGATACATGCTTTTATTTGTAAGTAAATTAATTGCAACAATGAAAATCATGTTCAGAAAAATTTCTTTTCTTTTCGTGATATTTATAAAATGAAGTAAACGGTGTAAAACTGTTTGATAATTTAACGTTTTTTCCCTTATTTTTGAAACGAGGTTTTATCCAATTCCAAGCATTTGAAATTTCGTCTATTTTTCTTCTTTTAAGCATTCTATTCAACAGTAAATTGAATAATACATTTATTTTAGTATGTTTGTAATAGCATGTAAATAAATGAGAATTTAAAATTATTAGGATATTTGCCATATTAAATAATTTAAATAATCTCGGCAAGCTTAATTTCCTCATTTTAAAATCACATTGCTAATTGATTCCATAGAAAAATAAGTTTCGAGCCTTTTTTTTAATCAATCAATTTATCAATTTCGTAGCTGAAGCATTAATTCTTTTTCTACTGTTTTTGGAATATTTCAAACGGCAACTTATCATGCATATACAAATGTAGCATGAAACCAGTTTTCTGTTGATTTTTGTTATATTAAATGAACTCTTATTTGAAAATACATTTTGCGTATTACTTTCATCACTCTTACATGTTGATCTGTTTTCGGGTAAGTTGAATTCATTACATGCGTTTTGGAATCTATTTCAAAAACAATTGACTTACATTATAACATCATTTTCTATTATTCCACTAGAACTAAGTTACTTAAAGCTACCAGGAGTGAGATTTCACGTGAGTGCAGTAGAAAATGGCCCACGTGATATGCCATATTTTACACTTCTTTTATAAAATAAATCAGACAAAGTCTTTACTTTCATTTCAATGTAAACAAGTTGACCATTTATTGCAATTATCATACATATACAGCAAATAAGATAGCTAAATTTGATGTCAAATGTGAGATAAATCAAGATT